CAGTTACCCATGTTCAAAAATAAACACAATATAAAAAAAGGGATGCTGTAAATTCTGACTTGTGTATTTCAATGTAGGTTGGACAATTTAATAAATACTATTGATTACAAAATTCAATGTTTTATGTAGAATTCTAAATGATTACACACGCAACAACAACAACAATAATTGGATTCATTTAAAAACCAAATTCTCAAAGCCCATCTTTTTAAATAACTTGCTCTGAATTAATTACCTGAAGAATGTCAGTGAAACCCATTCTCCTCCCTCCAAGACCAGCTGCTGACATTCTTGTCAAACCATCCATATGTCTGTCAAGCATCTGACTTGAACCCTGCCTAGAGACATTCCATCCACTGGTTTTCCTCAGTTCCATCAAATCATTTTCTGCCTGTTGCACAGAAAATCCTGGTTGCATTGAAAATAGAGATGAACTATCGCCATTTGTGGCAACATTCTTCCTCCAGTCCCCAAATCCCTCAATTGAAGAAGACCCACCACCATGAAACCTTTGTGCAACACGCCAATCTTCCTTTGACAACAATGGTGGAGGCAACCTAGGATTTATACTCTCATGCGAGTAATAATAAGAAAGGTATGCAGGATGGGATCGGATCTCATCTTCAGTCAAAAGTCCGTTGTTACTACTCCTATCATTGATCAATCCAAAATCAGAATTCCTAAGGCTCCCAAAAGCGCTCAACGAGCCCTCCACCGTTGGAGGCGCACTTCCACTCCGACAAATATTTAAATCCCTCTCTCGATTGATAAACTGCTGATTACGCTGCTCTTGCAGTATCTTCTCCAGCTCACTCTGCAAAGACTCTTCAACAGTACCATTTGGCAAAGGCTGCAAACCGTCATCCAATGTTTGCATATCTACCTTACTTCCACTGGCCATCTGCATTTTCCAAAGTAGAAGTCACCTACAAATGACACCAAAAAATATTCCATCAAAGTTAAAAAATCCGAAAAATCATGACAAAATAAAAAAAAAAAAAAAAAAAGACAAATCCACACCTTAACCCACTTTCTTGATACTAAGAAATCAGAGGAGGTAAAAACGAAATACAAAGATAAAACAACAATCATGGTAAATTCCCCCCATAATTTCATCAAACACAATCCCTACTACATTCTCTCTCTTCCTTTTACACAGAAACATGACATGCACAAATCAATGAAGAAATTTCAATTACAAGGGAAAAAATAATCATACCTAAGACTCCACAGCTCAAAGGCAACAGCCACACATCAATCCAAACAGAACCCGAAATTCGATCCTCTCTGTAAACAAAATTGAGAATCCCGTTAAGAAGAAAATACAAGACAACAACAACTTCCGACAATTACCGTGCAGATTAACACGTAAATTTTGCACATTTCGACAGAAATCAGACAGAGAAATCAACCCATATTTTCCTCTAAGAAAAAATAACTAACAAAAATTAAAACAGAAAAAAAAAAAGGAATAAAAATTACCGTTCTGAATGGAGTTGTGAGGACGAGGAAGCTGAATAGAAAATGCTTTGTTTTCTGTTCCAAATCCGAAAAACAGGAATTTTGAGAAAAAAGGGATTGTTTGTTTGCAGAGAGATGATGATGGGGTGGGCCTTGGGCCGATTTGATCACATTGCCCTTTTTCTTTGTTTCCTGTTATTACATATGTAATTGTCAGTGATCAAATTTTTCTTTATTTTTATTATTTATGTTTTTCAATCTCATAAAAAAATAATATAAAAAATATTTTTTAGTCGTTTTTGCAAGAAATGCTAACATTTATGAGGATGGGTTGTAAGTTGGACGTAAAATTAAAGTCTATTATCATATATTAATAATAAGCATTGACTTACAATAACAATTTTGAAGGATAAATGATTTGTCAGATATTATTCATTAATTATTGTATCCAATTTGACATGGATGAGTCAAATGGTTAATATATTTTTCATACAGTTCCTTTATCACTTTATTACAAAAAATTATTAGAAATTAGCGAAAACGTGAGACTAGTCTCATAATAATTGTAATTTAAAGTTCTTTCTCACATTAAAAACAGCAATACATATATAAATTACTTTGTTGAAATATATAGTAATTAATTTGAGATTAATACTAGAAGAAAATAAATTACTATTTAATTTAGAATGATTAGTGAATTAGAAGTTTTTTAAAAAGCCTATTAGAGTAATTTTAATAAAGTTTATTGATTGCGAATTATCATTATTATTTTAAAAAATATATGATTTTTATTGAAATAATAATTTATTTGAAAATAAATTAGAAAAAGGATTAATATTTTATTAAAGATGAGAACATAAATATATTTTAATTATTTTTACAAGGCTAAAACTACTTTAGGGTTGGAGAAAGTAATAAAGAATGTGTTAAAAAGAATATTGGAGAAAATTCAGTATTTAATTGATCTTTGATATATATTTTAATAATTTTTATTATTGATTGAAATTTATTGAATGTGTAAACTAGTGAAATTTTTTTGATGAATAGTCATTCATGAATTTCTATTTTATATTTTATATTGTTTTCTATTTTTATAATAAGTTATAATTTATTGTCAATTATAAATTTAAAATATGTATTACAAATTATATCATTATAATATGCATTTAAAATAGTGTAAATTTAATTACTTTGTGTCAGAATATAAATTATACATGAAAAAATTAAAATATAATTTATATATTTAAAGCTATTTATTACTACAGACTTTAATTGCAATATAAATTTTATATATTTAACAGTATTTATCTAATTTTAATTATACAAAATATACATTTACCTTCTAGAAATAAAAATACTAGTTAACATACATTTATTATTGTATAATAAATATTAGTATACAATAAATATATATTAATTATATTTATTGATTTATCTTTATCAATATTAAGTATTGGTAAATTAAATATCAAATTCTGATAAAAAATATAAATTATTTTTTAATAATAAATTATATAATGTATACAGATAATATTAAATTAATATATATATATATATATATATATTACTTTATCAATAAAATTAATTAATTGATTTTCCACATAAATATGAAATATCAATATGGATAAATATATTCCAAAAAGGTTAACAGTATATGCATGATATAAATATAATTTTTTTTAATATAACTTTTCCTCCTCTTTATTATCTTCTACATTTTATGTTAAAAGTTATTATTAATGTGAGTAAAGTAACTCTAAGATTATTTATTTGATTTAATATTTTATCTTACTGGGATTTAACTATTTAAATTATATATTAAGGTTGTTCCTAACAATATAAACATTCATAATATTTATCAATAGTTTTTTTGAAAAAATATTACACATTATATATATATATATATATATATATATATATATATATATATATATATATATATATGATGTTGTGTTTTTTGTTTTTGTTTGGAGTTATCTCATATTATTTCTGTCTACATTAAAAGATAGGAATTCTCCAAAATTCTGGTTGATGTAATATAATAAATTTAAAAGAGGATCTCAATAAGTTATAATAAATTAGTTATGACTAAGATGAAATCAACGTTAAGGTTTTTAATTAATTAAGTTAACATTTAACTAAATTGAGTTTAGTTATATTATAATTATATAAGAAAGAAAAAAATGGAAAGTATATATATTTTTTAAAAGAAAAGTAATATGAAAAAAGAAAAATCCATTTAAGAAATAACAAATCTCACATTATTACTAATTAAATTTTTATAAATAAATAACTTTTAAATAATTAAATCTATTTTTTCAATATATTTTTTATAAAAATATTTAAATTTAAATTAATATTATATTAAAAATTTAAATATATATAAAAATTTATTTAATTTTTATATTTGTCACGTTGTACTTATGACATAATTTTTATTTCACAAATAAAAAACTTTTCATTTATTTTTCTATTAACCAGTCATTTTTCACTCTTACATACTTTGATATATGTTTTCTATCTAATTTTTTCAATTGAGTCTTTATCATGTAAATTTTTTAATTAAATATTTCAAATTTTTAAAATTATTTTTTTTCTAGTAATTTTAAACCCTCATAAACTTCGAAGACATAATTTTCTAATATAGGAAGCCAACTAAAAAATTAAGAGACCCATCTAAGAACTAAATAATTCAAACTAAAAATTTAACCTTTAATAGTAGGTCTAACGCTTGGGAGTATAATAATGTGTTTTAACTTAACGTTGACAAACACTATTTGTACTTCTTCAGTGAATCAGTGGCTGAGTCATGGAGTATATAGGTTTTGAAGACCATTACTAAAGCTTTGATGGTTGTTGATGTTTATTATGGTTCGTCAAAGAAAAATAAAATCAGAAGACTTGAAAAGTTATGATTAAAAGTGAGAATGGTTAGTAGTTAATGTGTTTTATAACTTGTTTCACTAGTGCAACCACATCTCCATGGATAAGAATCTAGTTAATTCAACCATGTTTTTATGCTCCATAAATAATGAAGAAAGAACAAGAAAACAAAGTAAGGTTATGCAACAAGAAGTATTGGCTGCACCAGTAAACCCTAGCTAACAAACCTTGCTGCCTTGAATGAAAAGTTGAAAACACTATTCAATATTTCTGCCATTATCATCCATTGTGCTGTAATTTATGTTGAAACCCTTTTGTTTACTCAATATTTATGCATTATATGGTTAGAGAGATCCCTGTAGATTGCACTCGACACATTCAACGTAAACAAAAAATTCTCTTCAAGAAGTTGACTTAATCTGTTCTTAGAAACTGTCAAGTGTTTCTCTGCCACAATGATTACCAAGACTTCAAACATGAACAAAACTTTTTATGACAAGAAAAAAAAAAAGAAAAAAGAAAAAACAGAATGGAAAAGTGTGACAAGCGAAAACTTGTCTCAAAATTGTGGATGTGCAATCCAAACAAATAGAATAACTGGACAGACTCAATGACAGCAGGCATATCTCATCTTTCAGGATTTTAGCCTCAAAACTTCATCCCCTCAAACTCTTAACAATCTCTGAGAGGGCAGAGTATGTTCCAAAAGCAGAACACACAATACCTACTGTGATGATTGTAATGCAAAGTGCTGCCTGTAAACATAGTAAACAAAAGTAAAGTCGCAGTAGAGTTTATTATAAGTATGTAAGTAATGTTTGAACTTAATTAGTGGTGCAACAATATCTATTGTTATATCCTTGAGGGTATTGTTTTAAGTGTACTGATGTCAAAATGGTACTTTTCTATTCAAAATTGCTTTTCATTTGTATGCTTTAAGCTGTGTTAATATCAAAATAGTTTGTTTTTGAAGTCTTCGAATAGTTCACTTAATTCTAACGGGAAATTATTCGTCTGTTACCATGTTTAATACCCTTCTTAAAGAGTTTATTTTTCTCATCTCATCAATACTCTACTTTTTATCTGATCACTTTTTAAACTGTTTCTTTTTATTGTCCATTTACAAATTCAAGACAACATCTTACTATCTTTTCAAGTATAACCTTTTCACCACCTCATTCTTAAAGATTAACACATTAACGATAAATGAGAGATAGATAGTAAGGTCTTATAAAGAAGTTAAAGATATAAGGAAAAGTATAAGCACGGATATTTATTACATTTCTTAATCTCTACACCATCTTCCAAAGTTTAGAAAAAGAAAAAGAAAATAAAATAGAGGGAGTAGTTATCAACTCAACTTTATAAATTGTGACTTATATTAATCAGGTATTACAGAAAGTTAATCATCATACCTGTACTCGTGTCACTTTGGTCCGCAAGATTTTTAGGAAACAAACACAGGGTAGTATCAAAGTCTGTCAACAAGGATGGATTTCATTAATGAAGTGTCAAGATCAGTAACTCTAGGAGCAAGCATATAAGTTGATTGAAACTTACAACAAGCATTGTGAGTAATGATCCAATCAATGACATCACCAGACCTGCAAAAAACAAAAATTATATATACTATTGATATAACACGGTACAACTATGTCACAGTACAATGATTTTCTGAAATGAGAAATTTGGTCTATTCATAAATAATTTCCAGATTTTTTAGTAAAGAAATAATATTGAAGAATACAATTCCTTTAAAACCAAAATAAATCAACAACTAAGCACATGAGAACAGGAAGTTGAAAGTCTAACCAAAAAAGGGAACAGAGAGACCAATAACCAGGGTGGAGAGTACCAGCCCTGTTCTGATGAAGATGGAATATAGGTAAGACTTGGAATGGTTTGGTGGTATCAACTCTTCCAGACTCATTGCCACCGGAGATATAGTTAATGCATATGTGATTCTAATTAAGTAAAAAACAACTTCCTTTGTTCATAGTGTGAAGGTGCTTTAAAAGGAAATGTAAGAGAAAGGGTATGTCATAAAATACATGTTCAACATACATTGATATAACACATTCTTTCCTGTCAAATACTTTCATCTTGAATTAACATTTTGTACATAAATAGGAATACAAGGAGAAACATTTATCATGTTTTATTAATTTTTTCCATTAAGTAAAGCAAGATGCTGATTAGAAATGTTCTCGACTGTGCAGCATTCCTTGCTTATGATGATGCAAAATGCTTGAATTACTTGGCAATGTATTGTTTGCAAACGAAATTATTTTTGTATTTCTCTCAAATATCACTTTAAAAGAAGAAAAAATTTCAAATTATAAATGCTTCCACAAATAAACAAGTTAATAAATGCAAGATGGAAACAAAACCATTTCTTATTGGTATCTCTCATGCATTTATCTATTTATGTACGGCGTATTAAAAGGATATTTGGTAAATGGATTAACCACCTGCAAAACAAAAGAAACATATACAAGGTTGGTTATTTATGTAGTTTATTCAACACTAATAATTTGCTGACGCAGAATTAAGCATATTAAGAGAATAATAAATGAAACAAAAATAGAGAAACTCTTTGCCCAACCTCTTCATTGACCTCAAAAAAAGGCATATGAAAATTGAAAAATGGCAACTTGAAAAGCCACCGGGAACGCTAGAACGATAAAATTTAATATCCTGAATAATAAAACTCAATATCTCGCTTAATATAATCAGCTTCCCTGGGCCACTTGGTTAATGGCAATGGTCACAGGGGTTCTAATGCTATTTCAAAAATCAATTATTACAAAAGATAAACTATTGTGTTTAGGCTCTAGATTGGTTCTTTTCTTTAACATTCATTTCCACGGGGAAAAGCACAAAGAATAAAAGGCAAATCCAATCAAGATTATGAAAAGATCAGAAAATAGAACATATGATAAAGGTATGTTTGGATAAACTTCTTCATAAACACTTCCAATAGACAAAAATTAAATTAGCTTGTTAAAATCATCTTATGCATTAGTTAATTTGTAAAAGTCCTCTCATATAACTTTGAATTTTTATTTTTAACTTGTGCATAAGCTAATTTTAGTTTATTAAAAAGTCCGTTTCCTTTTTTTCTGCTTGTTTTCTCTTCTAGTAGAAGTTCTTACAGAAACACTCATTCAAAAAGGCTCTAAGACAGGAAGTATACCGTAGTCCAGACAGCAATCTTGGTTGCTACCAATTCTTGAGGCAGGTTGAGAGTGAACTGAGAGAGTATAGCTTCACCAAACATTGTGTATCCCATAACAGCAGCTCCAGCATACAAAAAAGTACAAATACCAAAACTGGGGAAAGGAAAAATCACACTATGTATTAGAATCAGAAAGAGAATTTCCACTGAAGAAAATAAAAATCCTATACAAGTATATTCCACATCTTGACAGCCTAACTGCTAAATGATTTGTCATGGTTATACTTATCCACAAGTTGACCTAAAAGAGATTATCATATCTTTTGTATATACTTGTAAATTGCATTTGTACAAGACTTAGATCTAATATACAGTGAAAGGACTAGTGACAACAGAATGATAGATTTATGGCCAAAAGTTATTTACCATGCTAAGAGCGCTGCAGGGAATTGGTTTTGATTTGCCATGGATGTATAAATGTTTGGGAACACGGCATGTCCAGAGTAGCAGTAACCATAAAGACCCACGGAAACAGGAAAAGTTGCAAGATTGAGTGTGGTCCCTTTGCTATGAAAGCCTACGTTCTCTACGCCAACCCATAACAAGCAGAGAACCACTAAAATTGATGCAACAACTCCACCAGCTATAAAAACCAAGGTATAAGGTTATAATAAGCCTTTTCAAATAATGATGGTAGTGTAATATGTTATTTCTGAATGCCAAAACATACGACAGATTCATGAGTGATTATAGTAACCAAGCATGAACGAGAACAACCAGAGGAGGAAATTTGAGAAGCTATATATGTTATATATAGTGATAACTTGATACATTATGACCAATCTCATGTATTATCATTTCCTTTAGCAACAAGAACAACAAATCTTATCCCTATACAGAAAAAGGACAACATGAAGTATGATAAGACCTTGTTTGGGAAAAATTACTTAAGAGCCAAAAGTAAATGAGATCAAACTTTAACTTCTAATCAGAAAATGGATAATTAATCTTTTCTTGCACCAAAAAATAAGAACATACCGGATATGTAACTGAGAATGCTTAGATCACGAAGCCAAACAGTAGGAAGAACAGCAAAGGCAGTAATCGCAGCAAACAGTACATGTGAATTCAGTTCAATTCCACCCAAATTCAAGTGTGCATTTGGAAACAAGGAAGACAAGTTGTCGCTCTCCAAAATTATATATTCAATGCAACAAGCCTACATGAAGGAATATTCAATAGGAAAAGTAATTGCCATAAATTTAGATAAGTTATAATAGGTAGCCAATACGATGTAACAGTGGAATCCAAATAGGTAGCCACATAGAATTTCATCATTATATTAATTGGCTTTAACAAATTACATTGGATGAAACCTCGAATGGAATACTATATGAGTGAAGGCACCTGTACTTACATATAATTCCACGTACAATACTATCTGTATCCAAAGAAAAAAAAAAAGGAAAAAGTATTAAAAAGAGATTAGAGACCAGTTACTTTTAACATAGTATTTTGTCCCTCTATGAAGCATATGATAGAGACAAGGGAACACAGAAAATTTTAAAATTACAAGACCTGACACAACTTAAATTAATGTTTGAAAAGTGAGCATGAGTCATTATAGACATAATAAAATGGTATAGTTTATCTAGTTCTTGTGATATTTTTATGCCATTATAAGAGTTTATAACACATGTAAGAGAGATCGTCATGAAGAGAAGACTTACTGAAATGGCAATACGTCCAGTAGTACCAAAAGCAGCTTGGCCAATATCAGGGTATGTTTCAAGCTCAGGTTCACTGTCCAAACAGGAACGCAAGAGCAGCCCAGTATAAAATGAAATAATTGCGAAAAGGAACAAGATTGAGAGCCCAACCCATCCACCTTCTTTGGCAGCATAAGGGGTAGAAAGGATTCCAACACCACAAAGAACATTTATGCCTACAACATCCGAAATTTGATGAATAAGGGAACAACATCACCTGCAAAAGTTACATTATTGGCTAATATGGTCCCCCCCCCCCAGCCAGAAGATTGATCGAGTATGCAGGACTTATTAATTGCAGTTTGCAGAAAAGAAAATGTATATTCCGAATTACTTCTATTCTCACCAAGGACGATAAATGAATACCCAATCCCTATCCTCTAATAAAACATGTTTCAAGTAATTTAAAATGAAGTAAAAAAATTTAACCAATATTTGAACACTTAAGCTTAACTCCGTGATTTACTTTATTATTATTATTATTTAAATCTGCTCAATTTTGGGCTTAAAGTGATTTTTTAAGGTAATGATTGGTTTAAGGTTTTTATAAAAGATTAACTTTTTTACAAAAAAAAAAAAAAACATTTTTCGAAATGTTAAATTTCCAACATAAAACCAATTGACTATGTAAAGGGTACTTTTAACCCAAAGACAATATCGGAAACATATTAAATTTTGGCTCTAATATCATGTTAAGATTCCAATATAAAACCAATTGGTTCCGATACTAGTAGTCTAACATACATTTGAACCATACCAAATAACATGAGATAGACAATGTGAGACTTTTAACACGTAAACAACAAAAAACTAAAATAACCAGAAATCATAAATATAATAATAATAATCATAAACTATTTTAAACAATTTCTCCTAAATTCAGTTATTCTTTAAAAACTTTTTTTTTTTATAAATAAACATGAATTAACTTATGTTTTTTTTTTTAATTTCTAAAAATAACCACTAAATTCTTTTAAACTCTGTTACACTACAACCATAAAATGGTTCATGTGAGCATCTATATTTCAAATCCACTACCACCTCCCAATTTACAAGTTGGTAAAAATCTGATTCATATTCTCCAATCCAATTTAAGTGGGCCACAGTCGATACCCGCCATGTTTTCTTTCTGTCATGTACCCAATAAAGACACAGTCTTTTAGACTGTTATCTGCTTGTTAGCTTCTTTTTAATGCAAGTCCTGCATTATGTCAATTTCCAAGCTGTGTAACTCAGAAGCATGATCATGCCAGAATACAAAAGAAAAAATAAAGTATATCAAGAGAAGTACAATCCTCTTTTTTCTCACCAAATTTTGCTTGCATGTAGAAAATTCCTTCAATTATATAATGAAGTTCAATTTTTTCTTATATAAATGTGAAAAAATAGTACATCATAATGACAAGAGAAAACATATAGTACACCAATTAATTTGTCTAATTTTTTTGTTTTATGCATGAATTTTCCTTCATTCTTTTGTGCTTTATATTTATTCCCAAGATAAGGTTAAGATTTGTTCTCTTATAATAAAATTGAATTCTGGGCATAGATCAAATGAAGAATATGACAAACCAAGATTCAAAAATTTACCATTAAGTACAGCTTGTCCAAAAGAGCATTGGCGAGAGGGAACATCATGAGAAACCTTGGAATCCTTCTTAATCAAAGAAGATCTTCTAGAAGAAAGAGGAGGAAGCAAGGTATGGGAGCTACGTCTCTGGCGCTGCTCATCTTCTGTATCATGTAAAAGAGGCTTTGTCACTGAAGGAAGTGCTTCAGGAGTGTGCCTCCTTGTTAGTGATGTAGAAAGAAAAGAACTGCTTAGTCTTGACAATGAGGGTGTGCCCAAAAATCCAATGTTTGGTGATGGCACACTACTGTATAGATCAATAGATTGCCTGAAACACCATCAATTGCAACAAAAGCATAAGTATTCAATTCATGCACTTCACTGAGGACACACCGAGATTAAGTTGTTAGAATTTGTTTTTTCAACTTCTGGAAATAGTTTGCTGACTATGTCAAACACAAGTGGTATACTTTGGTTTCTTCTAAGCCAAAAACTAGTTAGAAAAAGGATCCTAATAATTTTTACATTCACCCTAAGAAAGGCAAAGTCACTCGTCAAGATCATTATCAAAAAGGAAGAAAAGAGAAAGACAATTAACCATGTTTTATAGAGATATTAGACAGTGCCCTTTTGACACTTTTAAGAACATAAAAGAAAAAAAAGGTTATATGAAAAGACAATCATGAGAAATTCACAAATCCAGCAAAATTAAAACAAGGAAAACAGAAGACCTGTAACTCTGAGGCCATGAGATGTTGTAAGAACTGGGCTTTCGCTGTGGAGGGTTTTCCGTGGAGTAACTGGAAGAATCAGACTCGTTACCATCATCTCCAACTTTGTTCAAATCCTTCTCCGCATCCTCTTCGTCACTCTCAATGATAAAACTGTTCTCTGAAACAGAATTATTCATCTTCCTTCAAGATTTATCTCCCTTCAAAAATCCAACGCCTCTTCAACTATTCCACCTTCACAGAATAACCACACTCATAAAAACATCACAGCAGCAGAAAGAAAGAAAATATTTATAAGAAATTCAAGGAAATTTTCCAACATAAAATCTATGTCGGGATCAACAATATTTATTTCATTTGAGAGAAAAACAGAAACTGCACGTGCAGTGAGATTAAAAACGTTTCCTTGTAAGTTTAAGTTCTCCTAGTCAGAGAAGTTTGTACTCACGAATCTGGCTAGATTTTGGATATGCATGCATTCTCATCATTTTGATTAAGCTAAACAAGAAAACACATACAAGGAAGGAAAAACAGAAAGGGGAGCTAAGGTAACACCTTTAAAGTGTTTCCTCTAATGATTTTTGCTTTATATGTCTACAAATCTTTCCAAAGAAACAAAGTGAAAAAAACAAGAGAGAAGAGAACACAGATAAAAGAAACACTACTTACCTTTGGTTTGAGGTGTTCTGAGTGACACTACACTCTCACGATTCTAAGGTCTTATAGAGCTGTTGGTGGTGGTCGTGTGAATAGTAAGACATGAAATTCAATCAGAAGGGCAGAACGGAAGAATGATGGAAGCTGGAGCAGTTTATTGTTATGATATCTGTACTTTGTCTAAGAGGGTGCAGGCAATAACTAAATCCTAGCCGTATATTATTGATAAACAATGGATCCCAAATTGCCATGTTGTCATGCTGGCATGGTCCCACTTTGTTTTGTTTGTCTTTATTTCATATGATGATTTGGAGAGTTACCAGAAACCACTTTATCCTCTGATCTAATTTTATCATATGTATCATTATCTCATATTTAATGTAATCTTTCCTGTAATAAAATATTTTTACAAATTTATAGAAATTTTTGTATAATATATAGAAATTTTTTTACCTTAAATATATATATATATATATATATATATATATATATATATATATATATATATATTTTTCATAATATAGTTCACATGAAATTAATTTTCATCATTTTTACCTATCTTTTTAAGTAATTTTACACTGCACATATATGCTAATAATTAAATTACGTATTTTAATTTTTTTTAACTAACACATATTAATGATTATACCTTCAAACATTTAATTAAATTTTCAAATTTCAAATTAATGTAATATTATTATAATTAAAAAAAAAAACTAAAGTCCAAAATCTAACCTCACATTAAAATATAAGAAAATGCCAGAGTGTTGACATTGTTACTAATTTAAATAATTTAAAATAAATTATTAATTTATTTTGTTTTATTTTATTTATCTTTTATTTCAATATTTATGTTCAGTATTTTTTTTAAATGTAAAAGAAAAACTGTTTTTTTTTTTTTGAGAATGTGAAGTTCAATAGAAGTGTGAACTAAGATTTTGATAAAATGATAATAAAAATATGAGAAGAATTTAATATTTTAAAATCAATAAGTAATAATCTTATTTTCAAATTTATTTCATAATAACTTCAATTATATTAATTAAATAGTTAAGATAAAAAGTAACTATAGGAATTGAAGTGAAATATTTAATTCATTGTCCAAATTAACTATAATTGTTAGTCTTCACAACTATTAAAAAAAACAATAACTTCATATATCTAATAACTTATACACTTATATTTAATAGTTTTATTTAGTTATTGAATTAACTTTTTTTTCTCTCTTCAACTTTACATATCACATGTCTCATACTTTCTCTTATGTGTAAGTTATTATTTTCAACCTAAAAATTTGCACTTGTATTTAAATACTTATAGAATATAATATAGTCCAAGAAATCCAACAGTTTAATAATTAAGAATAATAACTGTTTGTTAATGTTTCATACATTAATTTATTTAAATATATAAAAATAAAAATTCTTTTATTTTGTTATTAATTATGTTTTACTTATACAAAAAGTAAAAATTATAATATGTTCAACTATTTGTTTAAATATTTCATAATAAATGGACTTTAATATATATATATATATATATATATATATATATATAATACATAATTTTTTTATTTATAAAAGAAATATCTATTTTTGGTGTAAAAAATTATCCAACTACCAGTTCAGTAATTATAAAAATAAATTCTGATGACATCTTTTTTTGTTAAAGAAGTAAAACCAGTCATTTACAATTAATTTTAAAAAAAACTAGAACAAGGAAACATTTTTTAACTGATAAATAATATATAAACTTATAAATAATAAATTTATTAACTTTTTAAATATCTTATAAATAACTTTTTAACTAATAAACTAAACTCACATTCTTCACTTAAATATCTTTAGTTTTATCTTCATTTTCTTTCATCTCAAACAAAATGTATGTCAATTTTTTTACCTTTAAACGGACTAAAATTAATTTTAAATATAAGAACATTTAAAAAAAGACATCTATCTTTTTGTATATAAATGTTAGCTATTAATTTATTTTTTTATTTACTCTCAAACATTATTGTCAAGAGGAAATGAATTTACCTTTCAAAACCAATCTTCAAAATCAACTAACTAAAATAAAAAAACAAGCATCATATGCTTACTCATTGTACTGAAGTTCTGTATTTATTATGTTTTGTTGAAAGAGGTGCTTTAGAATATTCTAAGGTTTACAAGGGCAACTTGACAATGTTTTGTTCATTAATAAAGTTAGACAAATAAAAACATATATGATTATATCTGTTGCTAATTTATAAATTCTATAAGTTATTACATGCATTAATATATTTTTTTCATCTTAACGGTTATAATTAAGGATGAGAGTGTCCCAAATTTATTTTTAAAAGCCATTTTGATGGATTAAATAAAAAAAATGAATTTAAGCTATATTTTAACTCAATTCTAATCTATATGTGGAACGAAACAGTAATAATTTGATGGTGGAAGCATGTGATTGAGTGTTGTTGGATGAAGAAAACAACTTTGTTTTTTTTTATCCTAAACAACTTTTCAAACTCCTTCAACCAACGAGTTGTTTTTTTTTTTTTTTTTATCAACACAGATCTCACAGTCATGGCCAGACCATATATTTTAATTATCTACTAAAATCAATATGTAAATATTTTGTTTAGGATTGTTTATATTTCTTTATATTTTATTTACCATATATATATTCAGGCTTATAAAAATGTCATAGTTATTTTAAATTATATTTTTAATTATAAAATTATATATTTAATTTAAATATGAAAAATGAAATTATGGATATAATAATAACCATATAAAAATTTTATAATAAAATAGTTTTTTTATTTTATTTTGAAGTATTTAAATTTTTAAAATTAAATATTGTATTTTTTTCTAAAATTATTTAACAAAATTGTAATAAAAATCATATTTAAATTTTATAATTAAATAAAATAATAAATATTAATGTGGTTTAATTTAGATTTATGTCAAATTAAATTTACATTAAATGGAATCATATTTAATTGTTATATTTAATTTAGATAATAACTAAATAAAAAATAAAAATCATAAAATCATTCTTATCATATATATTCTTGAAAATATATTACATGTGACAGTTTCGGATAATTATTTTGACTGAATTATTGGGACCCATATGCTATCAATTTTTCACTTCTTATAAAACAGAGGTTAAGTTTATAGTATATTTTGTCTGAATTAATTATTATTTAACTTCATCTAAAAAAAGTCTATTTGTCTATTTTCTATAAAGATGTATGTTACTTCTACACTTTCATTATTTTTCACAAATTCATTATTATTTTCTTTGGACAAAAATATCAATCAATGATATAATTATTGCATGGAATAATTTACAATCATATGTGTAGTGTTGGAGGTTCAAAACTAAACAAAAATTACAATAAATATATTCATTAATTTTTTATTAAAAATATATAAATTTTGAATCTATAGGGATATTTTTTTTATCTAAAAATTATCTCATATTATTGATGAGATCTTGTCATCTATTGAAGTGCCGGTACACAATTATAACTTATAACTTTATGAATTTATTAATATAAAATATGTTACGTGCAGGACAAAACAATTTTATATGTTATTAATGATAAATTATGTAATTTTTTTTATTTTTTACAATAATTATTTAAAAATTATAATAATAAATAAATAAATTATTATTTTAAAATTCATTATTAATAATGATTTTAATTGACTGTATAATTTGTTTACACTAATTATAATATACTTACATTTTAATCTAAAAAATGTACTTACATTCCAATATTTTATTTAATAAAAATATAATCTAATTATTTATTTTTATTTTTAATAAATAGATACTTAATATATTTGAAAAAAATTATTTCATATTTCATATTAGAGAAATAAAAATTTTTAAAAATAAAAATTAAAAAAATACTTGGAAATAAATAAATACTTAATCTAATCAGAGAAATAAAAATTTTAAAAATTAAAAATTAAAAAATACTTGGAAATAAATAAATACTTAATCTAATCAGAGAAATAAAAATTTTAAAAATTAAAAATTAAAAAATACTTGGAAAATTAATTTTGATCTATTTCATATTAATATGGAAATCCATTAAAATTAGAAAATGATTAATACATTATTAATTATTTACAAAAGTAAATAATTGGATTTGAGTCTATCTAATTATATATATATATATATATATATATATATATATATATATATATATATATTGTAAGGGATGAATTTAATAATAAACAAAATGGATGGAGAATAATTGAATTGTTTTTCTATTAAAAATTACATTATAATATATATAAAGAATCAATTATATAAAGTTTTCAAATATCTAATTATTATTTTTTGAAGCTCAGATCTCTCACCTGTAATTGTAGATAAGATGCATCATAAACAAGTTTTTGTTTTAAGGTTTGTAAAACATATGGTAACTGGAACAAAATATATATATTTTGAGTAGTTTCGTTAGAAATGCGTATACATATAGAATTATATTGGGTTTAAACATTTTTTATTTTTTAGATCTACACATGATAGTAACAACAGCTAATACAAAAGTTAAAAAGTAGCAACAATGGCATGAATGAACTATGGTAGGGTATAAGCTTAGAGTGTTCATGATAGATCTAGTCACATAAGTTCAATAATTGCATTAAAAAAAATAAAAATCTGAACAAACCAAAAATGGATAAATTTGAAAATTAACATTTTTTTTTTCATTGAATTTGATTAGATTTGGGATCTTGTATTGAAAACTAATCCAATTTTAAATCAAAACATTGTTGTGTATTCAAAATTATTCAATAATAAGTTAATGTTTAATGGAAATAATACTGAATAAAAATATTCTAAATAATGATTATAATAATTATAGTTTATTTATTTATAATAAGGATAATATTATAAGACACGTATTAAAAATTATACACAATATTTATATACCCACCAAACTGTGTTAAAAAAAGAAAATTAAATTGCAGACCCTGTAATGAGATATTGCCTCTAACAGGACCAAGATGCAATTATCTTATTTTAGTTCAATTTGCAGAATTCACACGTACTTATCCACATGTCGGAATCCACCAACTATTATACACCCCTTCTTCAATAATCAATAATCAATCACAACTTGGAAACACCCACCAACTATACATGCAAGAAGATTACGTAAAATAATATTATCATATTTTACAGTGAAAAAAATGTATATACATATGTCTCTTTTTGTCTTATTAATCTTCTATAAAATAGTTTTTATTTTGACACCTTTTTAATCTTCTTCTTCTCTCTCCCAAAGGTATAAGTTACTACATGTTTTTTACTACACATGTTGTTATGAATATAATTGCATATCTTTCACCTTTTTCTTTTTATGCAAAATTATACATTTTTGTTGGATTGATATGAAGTATGAAATTTTATTTTAGAAAATTAAAAGCATTATTATTATTATTATTATTATTATTATTATTATTATTATTATTATTGTTGTTGTTGGCCACTAGGTTGTTGAAAGAATTAATGATGGAGTTTGGGTGCTTATGTCAGTATTTGTAAAGTTTCAATCACTTTATATGCATTCCAATTTATATAATTATTATTCATCTTCTTCATCGCACAAATGATTGCGCATAAGGGACAAATAAGTTAACATTTTTTACAGTATAGTTTTAAATCTTCTTGCAACTGACATTTTTATAAACAACTGTCCTAATTATCAAAGGAAAAAGTGTAATACTTTTTTAGATTTTGAAAAAATTACGTATTTATTTGCCAAGATTATTAAAAAATCATTATAAGAAAACATAACGGTACTTTTGTGGACACAATTATTAAGTTCTTTCATCTGTCTTGTTCTTTATACTTCAAATCAATAATGGTGAACCCAATAAGAGATTTCTTGAGGTTTTTAGGAGAGTGTGGAACGTGGATATCGCTATCCTTTGATGCTTAATTAGTTAGAATGATTATTTCATGAAAACTTTTAGGTTATTTCTCTTAAAAGTTTAAAATATTAGGCTGATATAATGTCAAGTTGGTTCTCTTCAATGTTTAAACAATTAGGTTAAGAGTGTGAATGATTTTGATTTGCAATAACAAATATTGTCACCACACTGTGCAAGCCCAAATGAAATAAAGGAAAATTTATATTAATAAAGCCCAAATGATCATGGTGGGCTAATAGAGACAACTGAAATCTTAATTATTTTTAGAAGAAAAATAGTTGCAAACTGTTTTATATATTTACAGGATAAAATGAGTATTTGAACATTAATCTTAAAATCATTTTCAGTAAACTTACCTGAACAATAATTAATTTTAATTTTTATTAATTCTAATAACAATCAATTGCTAAAATTATTTAATTTTTGCTATTGTTTAGATTCACCCTCAATGGAAGTTTAGGATCAATTCAAGCTCGAGCCAGTGTCCGTGGCAAACATCGCTTATTGGGTTGGATCATATGAAACATATATTAATTAGCAAATAATTATCCATTATACCGAAATAAATCTTATGAATAATATATTTAAAAGAAAAATTATTTAAATAAAATATTTGTCAATTTATTTATTAGACCAATTTATTGTTTATATCTAATTTTTTTCTCTCATATTTTTTTTTCTTTTCTCATTCCCTACTCTTTTTAGTCATAGCCTTTTATTTCTCTCTTTCTTCTCTCACTATTTCTCTTTTTCTTCTCTCCCTTATTCTCCTAATTAAACCATTATAATAAAATTTAATAAAAATATATTAAAATAAATATTTTAAAAAAATATTAACTAATTACTTAAAATTATGATTGCAATAAATCATTTTATTTATTTTGATAATACAGAAATTTATTTACTATAACATAAATAATTAATTTAAAATTATTTTATCATAATAATAATTACTCATCTAACTAAAATAATATGAAATATTTATGAGTTAAATGTATTTTTTACTTAATAATTTAATATATTTATTAAATTGAGTTATGATAACTAGTTAAATTAGTTAATTTAAAAAAATATTTGTTAAAAAATTATTTCAAAATAAATATTTAATTTTTTTCTTAATAATTATAACATATCAACAATATTTGTAACATCTCAACTTTATCCTATAATATTTTTTTAAAAAAGAAAAAAGAAGGAAAAAAGAAGAAGATAAATACTAAATAAAAATAAACATAAATAACAAAAAATAGACGAAAAGGGAAAAAATTAAAAAATAAATGAACAAGAAGAGAAAAATAATTATATTATTTATTTCTAATTATTGAATTTTTTCTATAACCAGTCCAGTTGAGTAAATAAATTTAAAAAAGATTTTATTTAAATAATTTTTCTTTTTAACTTAATTATTTGTGAGATTGATTCTTATTATGACCATTTATACTTTTACATTGTCCAATCATATTTCATAACTGGTTGAACAAACATGAGATTTTACCTCCAAGACTTTCTCCATTTTCTTTTCTGTCCACTTGGGAGGGGAACTTAGCTTTAAGAACATTGAGTAGTTCCATTTGAGTGTTGTGGCGGAATACTGATGACAGGATTTTAACTTGCCACTGATAACTTTCTATCTAGCATCAATAGTAGATTTTTTGGAATCTTTTTCCTTTTGATTGTATTTCCTGTTTATTCTCTTATATATATGTCTTTGTAATTAGGGTTATAATTAGGCTCTTTTTAGATGGTTTATTTTTAGGAAATATATTCTCTATGTACTGTATCTTATCTGGTATCAATGAAAATAATCAGAGATCAGAATATTATTCTGTTTTTCAAATATGTTGTTTACATGTATTATCATCAACAAAAGGAGACTTCATTAATTCTCTAATATCATAGGGAAAGTCTTCCTATTTTAGCACGACCAAGAGGATGTAATTTACTTAAAACTGTAAAAGCTTTGGCAGCATTCCACTAATGATTTTAAAGCCAACTACAACAAAGTGTGTATCTATAAATCGATATATAAAAGAGTTAGTGCTTGAAATATCCAAAATACACGGGACACTTGTATTCCCTTCCTCCAGGAGGGAGGGGCTAATTTGTAAGTTACTCTAGAACAAATATGGGAATAGCAATGTCTTTGAATGAGTACTGATGGAACTAATTTTGAGAACATGTATTACAGTCATGATACAACAAGATGGAAAGAAAATATATAGAAGTCATATAAACTCATCAAATTTATACACCGGAAATATAAAACTGAAAGTCATTTCTCAATAAGAACAGAAAAGATACCGCAACTAGTGTGGCTAAACCTACAAATGAAAAAAAACATCTTGAAATTCTCCATTAAACACTATCAGAAAACCTTCATGACATGCCTGCAATTTTTCTAAATATGCCATGACTGAACTCCGTTGTCATGAATAAAATCAAAGAAAAATTGGGCTACCTGATTTACAACCTCTAAATATCTATGACGGAGCCTAGCTGGTGAAAGACTGACACTCAAAAACATTTTTGGAAGAGATATCTATCAACACATTGCATAAGTTTAATTTTTCAACCTTGCTCAAAGGACCATTGCCTTTTCTATTTAAACTCTTCGTCCTGAGTAACAAATTCAGATGAATGAGCTCTTAATTCCTCATTTTAAGATCCATAGGCATGCCCTGCTGTTAATTCAGGAATTATCGCGTATTGTCGGGAAGTTAACCCCTTCCTTTAGATGGCTTACTGCCGTGGGACAAAACCACTTCAGCATGTTTGGACCTAAAATCTGGTCGAGAAGCAGATGCACACATTGTTAGGCAAGAAACACTATCAGTACATACATGCAAATTAGTGACAGTAAAGACCACAGATTAGGGCGAGACCAAAGTAATATTTTTGTATGCACCAATGTTGAATGGATGCCGGTAGCTCTGCCCAGACTTCATAGCCAGCCATTTTGCACGATTTCCTTCATGATACTGGAAAAAGGGAACAAAATGACATCTTCCATGACAGAGATAAAAAGACAAGGTATTTTAGTGGAGTACATTCAACTGAAAACCCACCTCTATGGTTGTCATGTTGTGAAGGATAAGGTAGACATGCCATCCAAAAAGAGTCAAAAGGGTTATGGACAGGCCCACCACTATCGTTCCATACAAGACCTGAACACCATCCATAAGTCTTGTTAGTTTATGATTTCAGAAAATTAAGGATTAATAAAAGAAGTTACTCAAGTTTTCAGTATGTTTTCTCAAGAGAAAGCCATTGAGCACCCATTCTCTGACACTAAGTTGCTAATTATAAGTTTACAATCATCAGCAAAAGAGGGAAAATAAAACCAGGCTGCTTCATCATTTACTTGTGATGAAAATAAGTTGGGTAGAGAAAGGAGTCTATCAAGAAACCGTTTATTTAATTTGTTTTAGCATTTCACTGTCTATCACAGTAGAGACCATATCTTCATAAATTAAAAAGTACTAGAAAGAAGTATATGCAAGGACTCTTCTGTCCTGCAGAAGTTTGCCAATTGGATACATGGGAATGTCCACAAACCACACCGCATACCTTCTGGGATATTGCAATACTAGTGGCAAATTGAGCCATCTCAATACCTAGAAAATACTCAAGGTAACCCATATCCTTAGTCTGAAACTGATTAAGATGTTTCAATGGATAGCATCCTGCCTCATCACAGCACATAATGACAATGGCACCATCTCAAACAATTAAATAGATATCCTGACCTTGGGATGAGTGTCATTAGAGTATGGAATGGTTTTCCTCACTACAAACACCATGGAGTGTGACACAAGCAGCAAATAAATCTAGACTTCCCATAGGAAACAAATCCAAGTGGTTTCTCCCTATAAGCTTCTGCAAAACCTCCATGAATAAAGGCAATCTATCCTTCAGGTCCCACACCCACCTCAGGATTTCTGTCACACAGCCTCTGTACCAGCACCATCAATGTCTCCATGGTATCAGCCCAGTGTCACATCCATCAACCTATGCTGTTCCACTACCAACTGTCACAAATCCTCTAGATGGGTTTGAAGATCTTTATTGGTCACACCTATTGTGTCTTGTGGGCTCCCACAACCCTTTTCTTGATTGAATCTTGTGTCACTGTCCAGACCTAAGAACTCTAATGCCAATTGCTAAACTGGCACTGAGAATTAATAAAGGACGACAATCTTACTTATCGAAGAACTGAATTCCAGACTAGACTCAGTGTAAAGTGGGTCTAAACTAAGCTACCCCTGTGCCAAAGACTCCTCGCTATATACAATGGGATAGGGGAGGATCATTGTATGCAAGAGTGTAAACTGTGTGTAGTACAAATGAAATTCATATAGAAATTGGAGAGACTCTAGACACTCCTATCACATCAACAGTCTCAGCTAAAAACCCCTTTCCCAACTATTATGATACAGATAGTAACTAAATGAATAACAACTTTCCCAACTAACTAACTATTGGGTCAGTTTGGGATCTATCAGCCATGCCCATCCTGTTTTCTTCCAAGATAGATCTGCTAATTCATTGACATGGTTGTCAAACTCGCAATCCAATTTGTAAAATCATCTCAGGGTATGAGCTCACCTTCATCAACTCGCATGCAGATTCGTGTTTGGGCTTGGGTAAATTCTCATAGACTCATACATGATCACAATTCTAAGACCAATTGTGCAAGTTCAGTGAGCCATAACACTTCAGAACAAAACTGATACACAATCGAAATTGAGGTGCAACTAATACAGAGTCAGCGCTCTCTTTTCTCTCTGACTACTGGGGCATGATTTTCAGAGTTTTGTCTCTGGCACTAGGGCATCCTTTGGTTACTTTTCTCTCACGATTCTCATCTATGTACTCCTTCAAAGACAAAATTTTCTCACTTCTCTCAGAATTATCTCTGTTTTCTGCTCTTCTGTTTGATGGCAACAAGGAAGACTCTCTCATCTGTTTGACTTTGTAGGCAGTAAGGCAGCAAGTTTATTTCTCTTCTTCAGCTTGAAGCATATTTTAGCAAACCCATTCAGCACATGCGAGCCCATTTTCCTCTATTCATATTCCTGCATGCTCATATGCTCGTATTTTGTAACTACAGTGAGGACTGAGTTATGTGAGTAAAATGCCATCCTGTTCTTAGTGTAAACTATAAAATGTCATCTTGATATGATGTGGTGTGTGACATAAAGTGTGTTACTGTATCTGATATAAATTGTTTTATTGTGTCAAATAATAATCTCCATATGATTGTGCTGTCTACTGTAGAAGCAAGCAGTAGGCATAAACAATTTTGAAATGTTAAAGGAAATAAGGGACTCTTATATTCACAAAGAATATGATAAGATAAATATTTAATAAAGATATGTTTAAGTAATAGTGAACTGCAAAAGCTAATGAAAGGGAAAATTCACAAAACCAGCCTCAACTTCAAGGATCTGGTAAATGCAACCTCGAACTTTAATTTGGGAAATTAATTCGTCAACAAAATGAAGTATCTCAATAGCTTCTTCTTCTTTTTTTCATATAAAAGTGATGGGCATGGGCATAAAGAAAACTAAACTAACACAAGGAATTGATAGAAAGAGGCTACAAGGATACTTCTTTTCTGAATAGAGGAAGATTCAAGGAACTTCTTTTTATTGTTTACAATCAAACAGAAAATCCAACTAGGATAGAGAGAGTACAAATGGTGAGGAAGTTGCAAATAGAAGGACAACAGATGGAAGTGATTCCAGCATCTTCCTTGCCGGATCAACATAAGATTGGGTGATTCAAGATATTTCAAATCATAATTTTTTCTTGTCAGATACTACAAAACTTTTGTATTGCAATATGACCAGCTATACTCTATGGTTGTAAATGTTGGGCTTTAAAGGGATGAGAAGAAAAAAAGAAAGAAGCAAAAATGAGTATGTTAAGATGGATGTGTGATCACAATAGAAATATATAATGAAATATGGTGTGGCACCAAAGGAAGAAAAGATGATAGAAAATTGACTGAATTGGTGTGGACACGTGAAAAGAGTGTATGGTTTTTAGCACTATGAAAAGGAAGTAAACACAAACCAAGAAGGACATTACAAGAAATTATTAAAAGTGATGACGTAGTGAATAATATCCCAGAGAATTTCGCTTTTAACTAAGTCCAATGACACCGTGTAATCCATGTAATCTATCTCACTTAAAGAGATAAGACTTAAAGGAGCTTGTAATTTCGTTTGTATTGGTTATGAGGGGAAAAAACCAATCTTATCCAATCATTGTGGTTTTGTCCTTTAATTTGACCAAATTTTTTCTTCAAATCTGATCCATTTCAATTTAAATCAGTTTTATTTGGATCAATTTTCAGTTTTCCAAAATAAAGAGAATACATAAATTATGATGAAGTACACACGTAATACAAAATCCAATCATTACATGGAAACGTAATAAATTTTTGTGACAATACAAAATTCATGTCCAATGACACCATGTAATTCATGTAACCTATCTCACTTAGTGGGATAAGACTTATTGGATTGGATTGGTTTTGAGGAAAAAAAGAAACTATTACAATCACTGTGGCTTTTGTCATTTGATCATTTGATCATTTTTTTTCTTTCAAATCTGATCCAACTAGATTGGATCGATTTTCAGTTTTCCAAATAAAAGAATGAAGTAAACGTAATAAAAAGTCCATTCATCACATCCAAAACATAAAAATTTTGTGACAACACAATATAATATTCATAATGGAAATTATGTCAAGACAATAAAAAATCCTAATACATTAGTACAAATTCCAAGATAGAAATGATGCCAAGTCAATCTTAAACATCAGTACTAGTAGTAGGCAACACTAGTCAAACAAAAACAAAATTGGTAAATTAATCAGACACAGCACCAAAGTCATATATACAGCTTATATAGGTGCAGTTCGATCTGAGTTGGATCGGTTTTCCCTGGCAGAACTATAGACCAATCCAGTCCAGTCGAAATTTAATTATGTGCGATCATTGGTTCTTTCAGTTTATGATTATTCGGATCAATTGCTGACTTGCTGTGATAGCTATTGCATTGGAATACTCTATTAAGACTAGTGTTGCTGTTGCTGGAGCTACTACAAAACCCATTATGGTGCATACAATACACATATCAGGTATAAGATGAAGTAAATATGTAAGTGAAGCAAACTAATGAAGGACAGGCACAAGGGTTCTCTCACCTTAAGAAAATGACTTAGCTTATAACAAGAAGAAAATGAAATTAGAATTATTTGCAATTGAATAAACTAAAAGGAGACATGTAACAACATGAATAGATTACAAGTATGACAAATTCAAGCATCTGAAATTAACTTAATAATCCAAAAGGTATAAAATGCGTTGAAAGAGTTTGAAGTATGAACAGACAAAAGCCTTCAGAAAGGATAAATATGTATATGCCCTACAAGTTCTTTGTATATTTAACAGAAGTACAAATCAATTGCACATATATTAGAACATCTTTAAAAAACAATAGCATGCAACTTACATAAAAGATCTTAAGAGAATTCCCTTCAACAGAATCCCAGTTTTTCTGAAATACACAGCTTATAAATATGACCTGCACATTGTAAAAGCTTATGTCATACAAGAATACTATCTACTACAGAACCAGTAGATGTCAGATTGAAAACATACCGTAGAATAAATACTTGATACGGTGGCATATAATACAAAAACAAAGAAAGCCTTATAATTCCAGTAACCAACACAGTTATTTATCCACAAGCAGTGATGATCCTACATCAAATTTAGCAACCAGACAAAAAGGTCAAAATAAACCCTTATTTTGTGAACTAAAATGCAAAATTGAACTCAATGTAACAAACAACTGATCTACCATTTTCAGAATACACCTTCTGCAGACTCGACAATGATGAGTCCTCGGAGGTTTGTACCCAAAGCACTTGTCACATTTCTTCTGTTCTGCATTCTGCAGCAATTAACCAAGGAACTCAGCAACAGATCAAATAAAGTAGATCATTAATATATAAGAAAACATAACAATACCAACACCTTAATCTGTCATAAACAACAATTTTAGATAATGTAAAAGCAACACTTAAATCCTTGGCCATAAAAATTCATAATGGGTGAGGAGGTAATGTTCGAGAATCTAATCTCATCATAAAAATTATAAAATTCCGATTTGGACCTAACTCATCCCCAAAAGTTTATTCATAGGATGACCGTTACCCCCCAATTATATACATTATTATTTTGGTCACATCACTAGTGGGATCTCCAACATAAAGATATACAGAAGTGCAAACAACTATAAATTAAGCACCATAAAAGTTCAATAATCATACACAACAGCTAATTTGAAGCAGTGCAGCATTGATCATTGACAATTTACAAATAATCCAAGATTCAGAGCACTTCAGTTCAATTTCATACTTGATTCACACAAGGGACACAAAGAAGCTACACACTTAAAGACATAGATCCCTTTCACAAACAGCAAATGTAAATACCAATCATTCCTCGGATTCATTCAACACAGCCCCATTATAGAGATGTGAGAAAAGCTTACATCTTTGGAGAATTCAACATCTGGGACATAGGAAGAAGGGACGTGGCCGGGGTCAATGAGAACGCAGGAAAAGAAAGAGAAGAGGGAGAGAGAGGCAAAGAGAGAGAAGAGGAAGGCATTCAAAGTGCCAGGGGAACTCTGCAAACCGAGCCAGTCATGGAGGAAGACGAAAATTGAACTGTAATACAAAAAAGAAATTAACGAAAACACAGCCAACACAGGCACTGATAGAAACCTTTTGCCCTTCGTCGACATGGAGAAGAAGAAACCCCCTTCTTCTCTCTGCTCTTGATCCTCGATTTCTTAATTACTAATCTTTATGAGATTTCCTTAAAAACAACAGAGGATATTTTTTTCTTCCTTGTACATGATCTCAACTAAATTCTACATTCTACTCTGAGTACAAATAAAAAAACTATTAGTTGGTGTAAATGTAATTTTTAAGATAAACTATATTTTACCATAATTTTCATGTTCTTATTTTGCATTTCTATACCTATTTTTATGGGGTAAATAAAATTTCTTCCTTTTTCTTGGTTACATAATGTAAAAATTATTTCTAAGTGTTTAGTATTTGTTTAGTTTTTATTAATGGTGCATTTATGCTGCTAAAATAAGAAAAAAATTATTTTGCCTAGCTTCTTAAAATGATAAGTACAAATTTGGATGAAACACAGTTAATTTTGTAAGGTATTAAAACTATTTAAGTAATGTATTTTTCGTAAATTTTATATAATATATATAGAAAGAGGATTTTTTTTGCTTTAAAATAAATATTTAGAAACTTATTTTTTATTTAATCTTTCATTTTTTTTATTATTTAACTATTAATATGAGTTATCATTTTATATTTATAAAAAATGATAACAAAAATAAATTAGTAAAAATAAAAATAAAAAATTGATTCTTATTCTTTCTCTCTATATAGTTAATTATTTTACAATATTATTTCATGGAGTATTTAATAAAAGATAAACTAGCTATTTATGATGAAAAAACGAATAAAGAATTATGAAAATAATAAAGACTTGATAAAAAATAAGATATATATTTAACATGAAGTTGTTTTTTTTTAAATATATATATATATATATATATATATATATATATTTATACGAGTCTATTCCCAAGACATGAAAATTAATTTTCGAGCATATTAATAAAATGTATAAATACTTTTTAAAAAGAGATAATATTTAAAAGAATTGGTCTACAAATAGTAAACTAATTATTTTAGAATATTATTCTACCAGTTATAGAGCAATGGCCTAGACCTTTTACAAAACAAGAGCCAACGTATAGAAAAAAATATAGAAGAAGTAGCTTTTTAGTGAGGAGTATAAAAAAACAAAATACTGTAAAAAAAACTATTTTTTATAGATATAATTCTAAAAATAATTTTAAGCTAAAATTTATTTATATAATTGTTTATGCAGTATATGGGCATATTATATAACTCATTCTTTATCAGAAGGTTAAAGACTATGGAGCTTCTTGGCAGTTGGTAAGCAACTTTCTCCTTTGAACCATGAGAAGAATCGTTGCCAATCATTCATAGTTATTTGTGTCTATATCATGCTCTAACTTCAAACTAAAGTGAAGATGTATAATTTAATAACTTACAAGTGATTAAATGTTAAAGTTGGAGAAGAAACATTGGCTTTAAAGAAACACTAATCTCAGATCTGGAGTAGGAAAATATGATTTGGAAATGAAAATCAAAGAGAACCCTTGAGGGAAAACAACATGGATTACTTGTAATGTAATCTATAACACAAAGTCAATAATACCTTAGTTAGAAGGGTGAATTTATGAGTGACTTTTATCAGTTTTTAATATAATGAAAACCAATTATAGGTACGTAGTGCTTTTTGAGTACTTTTGGTTGGTAACTAGGAGAAGCATTAGGTCTTAGCTATCACTCTTTTAGGTCACTTCCAAACACGGTGAATTTGTCACATTCTCTACATGTAGAGGAACATTGCAAGCTGATAGATTCGCCTCTCTAGTCTTTTCTGTTTACAACATAAAAAGGATAAGAAACTGTTGAAGCACCTCTAGAAACTCTTCTACCTAGCTGCTACTACATATAAATTGAATCATTTCTGTTTTCTGGTTTGAAAAATCACACATTTAATCTTAAAAGAAAAAAAATAAAGAAATGCAACACCATCATACCACAAATGTAACTTACAGGTTTAAGAAATTTCAAAATATTAACTTGTTGGGTTAAGGACTTTGCAGCCTTGTGATATCTAACTGCCTCAAATCTTCTATACAGTTCACATTGAAAATATATTTTATATATCTAGTTGTTGCTTCCCATGAAACTAAAGTTACAGATGACAAGTAGGTTTGAAATTACCAAACTCTTCACCACTATCCAACTATAGGATAAGGACGTGAACCAATGAGATGAAGTTTTCCGAAGCCTTGAGATTGAGAATTTGTAGTGGGGTTTATCTTTCAACATTTCAGCATCATATCATGTTTATTCCTTTTTCTTTTTCTAACAATAGTTTTTGATAAGACAAGTTTGTTTAAACAACTTACACTATGTTGTCGTTTTAATGATAAGGTTTCATTAATTTAAGGCTTTACTACACAACAATGCAAATCATGTGTACGTTTTTGTTTTTCATGCTACATACAAAGCTGTCTTTTTAACAATGTCCTTTGTGGCGCCAAGTAACTTGTACAAGATATTCAGATCCACACACCAATGGTCAATTGTGATATTATGCAGTTTCCTTTAACCCAATGCATTGGGGACACGCAGGTAGATGAGGATCATTCTTCAATGCGGGGATAGCAATTGTTCTCTTTGTGGACCTTTATAGTACATGCATGTTTGGCTGTTGTTGATAATTCAGTGAAAATGAGTTAGCTGTAGGACACACAAAAGAATTGGTACAGAATCTGTGCACTGCCAACTAGTAAAAGGAGTGGTGAAATTGGCTTGCCAAACAATGCAAAGTGAGGGAGGTACAATAGCAGTTGGCATAATAAGTCAATGAAAATCTAGGGACCAGAATCACGTCCTATTTATGGGGACCATATATGAGCTGAACTTTCATTTTCCCTTAATTTTGGCAAATAAAAGATAACCAAAATGAACAGAATGAAAAAGCTTACTGCAAAAGTGGTATCCATTAAGGTAAGATGTTTCACAATCAAATGAGACATAACACAATATCAAGGCATCATGAAAAGTTTCCTCGGACAGAAGATTACAATTAACTGTGCCTACGGAATGCTCTATATTTTTATTGCTAATACATCTTTCTTTCAGAGACAATTTCGTTCAAAACATCGTCAATCTCTAATGTATAAAACTTATGTTACATTATCTAAACTACGTCGATTTTTAGATGTGTTACTAAATAATGAATCCAAATAAGATACTAGTCCAAATGATGTATTACTAGATAATGAATTCAAATAAGTTACTAGTCCAAATGATGTCAGATATTATTTGGATTTCAACCTGGAATTGTTCTTGAGCTTGTTAGTAACTCTTACTTTATTTATTATAATAAGACATACTTGTTTAATCCATTATCGAATTTTTTTTGATAAAATAATTACTCTTTAATAATTGATCAAATAATAAGTATTTCGCATAAATTTAATTCACCGTATAACAATGATGAAACATGAGTTAAATTTACAAGATTAATATTATCTTTAATCTGAAATCTTTAAATATTATATATATTACGGGTTTTTTTTATTATAATTTATTTAATTTTTTATTTTTTACTTAATATATAACTAGACTCATAAATGTACTTTTCAACACTAATTAATAGATATGAATGCATTACACCTTTTTTCAATTTTGCAAAAATGTATTTGCCTCTCTTCTCATTGTTGCTCACGAAAAACTTTCATCTCTTATGATTCTTCACTCCCAGTCCATTTTCTTTATCTTCACTTTTCTCGTCTTAACTAAAACTCCATCTTCAATTCATCCATTCTCTCTTCTCAACTATTTCCATTTAGAGGGTTCACTCACAAGTATCGTTATCAGTATATTTGTTTAAATATAAATATTGTTTGTGGTGTTAGGTTTTGGAATTGTTTTTTACGTTTTTCTTACATATCTACAGATTTCAATAGATACACGATGGATTTTACGTCACGTACACCCTATAATTCACGTTCAAACCTCTCATTTTCAAATTGACCCCAACATATACACAGATTATTAATTCTACACATTATATCATATATTCGTTGCATATTTGAGTGTAGGAGTGTTTTAACAAACACTCCCTCATCCTATCAGAAGAACGTGGTTTAAGAAGTCTTGAAAGACTAGTGCGAAGAAGAATTGACGAGAAAAATCTCAAGTAATTTATCTGAAAAACGAAGGATTCTTAATCTTGTACTACTTTAGCTTGAACCTTTCTGGTGATTATATATAACCGAAGTTCCTTTGAAATAAGAATACATCATGAATAGAACACAATTTTCGTACGGAATAGTAAAGTTTTAAGTATTAAGTTACGTGTGCCACGATTTCCAACATGAGAATATTGAAATAATGGCTTGAAGGAGTGGACATTCAAATAAAAGAACGAAAATGTTCAGAAATCAAAGTTAAAGTGGCAAAGTAAAGTTTAACTTGAATATGGAACGGATAATTCATTGTTTTTAATGATGAATAATATGGTTAAAAAAGTACTGAACTTATGTTTGTAGTTCTAAAGAACAGCAGCAATCCAAAATGTTTCCGTTAGTCTTCAAAATAAATGAAGGTTAGTGTCTGAAATTATCATTGAATTGGCACTTTTATGCAATGTTTAAGTGATGGAAAGCTAAAACACAATTATTATCATCAACATTTCAAAGATAAAGAGAACTTATCTTTGTCTTCTTTTTTCATTTTTATTTTATACTATCCTTTTCCCTTTCAGTTCAACTTCCAAAAATATCCCGCAATTAAATTCTATATACCATCATCGTAAATCTTGTTTTCATATATATAGAAAAAACTGTTTAAGACAATTTTAATTATTGACAAATAATATCAGCAAGGAATTTCTTAAATATTATAAAAATGTGAAACATTTTAATCTTTCTTTTCACTGAGTAAAATAATAAAAGTGTCTCATTCATAATTTGGAGAGATTAACAAGTTAGCTTTTTCAAGGATAAAAAGGTGTATTTGTATGCATTTTTAGTTTTAGGTTTTCAAAAACTATTTTTCAAATCATACAAGTAGCTTGGCAAGCAAATGTGAAAGTAAA